CTGAGAGTTTTTCCAGAATGTTTTTAACTACCTCTGAGCTGTATCTGTGCCCAAATTAAGTCTTGCTTCTTTAGCAGGCTGCTTCTAATCAAACTATACAGGCTTCTTTAGTACTTCTTTCCCATGCCTGTCTGATCCTAATTAGCACTGTAGGCATTTAGAGTTTATGTCTTGAGTAGGAGGATGTGGTTTGATAATAGAAGTAAACTGATCTAAGGGCTCTGCTGCTTCTCCTGGTACTTGCTTAAACCAGCTCACCATGGGGCCAGATGAGAGCCTGTAGGCGGTGGTGAGGTGAGAAGAGATGGGATGGGAGGAAGCAGAAATAGGGCTGTCTGGGTTAGCAATAGCTGACAAACTTCTGAGTACAAAGTGATATTCCTGACTTTTAGAAAAAGTTCATGTTTTCACAGGTTTCATATTTATTGGCTTTTGGGTTGTTTCTGGTAGGTGACAGTGAAGGAAGTTCTTATCAAGTAACAAGTAAATGTTTGCTGGGAGGTGTTGGGGTTTTTTTGGGTTTGGTTTTTTTGTTGGGTTTTTTGGGGTTTTGTTTTTTTTTTTTTAAAAAAAAAAAAAGGCATTACTGGAAGGTAACTGGGATTGTCTACTGTTGTGGCCATGACTAAAAATTACATTTTTGAAGATGGTCAAGATGAAATAAAAATGACAGGCAAAAGTTTGAACATTAAACTTTCACTGATGGTACTTAGGAAGGAGTAGAAAGTTAATGCTTCCTGGAAATGGTGTCTGTGGCAGATACCTGTGAACCTTGATGGATTGTTAAATTAATTTCTACCAGTGGTAGCTTTAGGTATCATAGCTTAATGGAGCACAGAGTCTTGTTGAGCTAGCTGTGTCACTCCACCACTCAATACTCTGCTGTGTGAGATAGCAGACATGAGCTGGTGAGCATCCCACCTGTCACACGTGTGACTTTGTACTCAGTGTTGTAGACCTGTCTCTGGGTTTGAAAGGGGCTGAATGAACACACCTTCAAGTAAAAACTGTCCGCTTACAAGCTCACAGCATAACTAGATTCTTAATAGGTTTCCATCATTAAAAAAAGTTTATTCTCTTGAATTTGGAAATTATTTTCTGTATGTGACTGATTATAAAGCCCCAAGTAGGTTTCAGGTGGGGTACACCTATTTATTAATAATGCCTGTCCAGGGGAAGAAAACTTGTTCATTTTGCAGTAGTGTTCTTGCTTCCTATTTGCAAGCTGTAGTTCCTTTCTATGTGTCAAAGTTTCCAGTGGTTTGCAGTATACTCAGTAGAAAGCTGTTTAAGAGATTATACCCTTTCTGATAAGGGAAGAACTTTAACATTTGATCTGACTCTGTTGCATTTACCACTTTAGTTATTAGGTTGTCAAACTTATCTATACCTTGATTATGTGGAAAGTACTAACGTGTATATCGGCTGGCTACATGAGCCTCTAAATGCTGCAGAAACTTCTTCCAAAGTCTCCCGTGATAGTAATTCTTGTTTCTTTTGTGATTCAGTTAGCACTGTGTACTTAATGAATGTGACTAGCTAAGGAGAACTGGACAGCACTCAATTGACTGTCACCAATGACTGACTTTACATGATACACAGGAAGGTGGAGTCTGGCCTTTGGTGCACAGATCATCATCATGAGTACTGCTGAAGGCACAGACAATGGAGCATTCAGGGCTGTATGAACAGTGGGCATGGCCACAGTTGTTCTCCACTTGCTGAGTAAGCAGGCAGTGTACGCCTGAGCTACAGAAGCTTCAAGCTTAAAACTTCATATTAACCATTTTGTTCAGATGTGCCTGTGAGTTAATGAATACAGCAGAGAACTTATATTGTAGATTATTTCTGATTGCATGGAGACTATACTAAGCAGCTGGAGTTCTTTGAGATTATTGTAAGCATGGATACAGGGGGTTCAGTGGACACAAGTGGGTTTTCAGTGTTTCTGATAAAATTCTGCATCAAAGATTATTTAAAAAAAAAATAAACAGAGTTGCCACAGGATTGGAAGAAAGCTGCTCCTGTGGATAGGAAAGTAGCTAAATAGGAGGCAAAGGGTAAGGGCTTAGTGATTGCTTTTCATGTTGGAAAAATGAGCTATGGGAAGTGATGCTGGGGCTAGTTTTATTCGGTGCTCTCGTCTGTGACCTGGAAAAGGTAATGAACAGTGAAGTCTTCAATTTTGTTGGTGGTATTAGCTCTTTCAAGTAGTCAAATTGTGCTGATGGTGAGAAAATCTCACTGTCACAAGGACTCAACTAAATAAGATAGGCAGATAAAAAGGTGGCAGGATAATCTTTGTATAAGTAAGTATAAAGTAATGCATCTAGGGGGAAAAAAACCCCAACACCTAAACTGTGCCAGTCTTGTGTTCAGCTCTGTGCAGCAGTTAACTCGGGATCTGCCTTGAGTCTTATTACTGAAAGTTCTCTGAAATGCTTGGAGGTGCCAGCCAAATATTGAATGTCATCAGAGAACGGGAAATGACATAATTTTGCCTCTGTAATTCAAAATGTGGGCATATCACTGTTTGTGTATACAGTCCTTGAAATGTAAAGACCAGAAGGTTGTAGTGAAGGTAAACAAGGGGCAGAGGAAGGTGATGGGAAAGGTAAGGGGGTGCAGTAGCTGCCTTATGAGGAGAGACTAAAATGGCTGTGCCTCTTCAGTTTGAAGAGAAGGCTGGGGGAGAGGGAATACAATCAAGTTTTATTAAATCATGAAGGTGGTGGTTAAGGTGAATGTGCAGCTGTTCCCTGAATCCTCCAAACCAAGAACTAGTGATCATTAGATGAAACTAAGGGGTCTGTCAAAAACAGATGAAGTACATCTTCACAGAGCTGGTGGTGAAGCTCCACTCCCTTCACACCCCACCCCCCCTCCAAGTATCAGGGGGCTACTTGGTGCTGATATTTGGGCCTTTGGCTCATAACTGATTGTGTTACTCTATAAAAATGTGAGATGCTAATGTACTTGCTGTGCTCATTAATTAATTGTCAATGAAGCAGATACATTAGTTATTTGCTACCATGTCTAAAGTGCTTCCTGTGAAGAATTCCTTCTGTGTCCTGTCTTCACTTTTGTTCAGAAGTATTTAAAAGAGATTAAACTATCATGTGCTTTCAAGGGAATGTACTATTGGAGCCTACCCATGCATGGCTGTTCCCTAGTCTGTTCTCTGTGAAGCCTCAGAAGTGTCTGTCAGATCCTCTTCCCTCTAGTTATGAAATTGGGAATGTAGTTTAAATCTGAGCTCCTGCTCACAAGTACTGGTGCTTCTGTGTGACTCTGTTTCCAGCACCTGCTCAGACTTCGAGCTACAATTGTCATAGTCATACACTGACGAATAAGGTGTATGAGACTTAAACTGCTTGTCATTAAAAAAAAAAATTGCTGGGGTCCCCTAATAGCAGCTGAGTGAATGTGGCTCTTGAATATTTGGAACTGAACTGTAAGGCATCAGAGTGCATCTGAAAAACACTTCAGAAGGCTGAAGTCTGCCCTGCCAGCAGGTTACAGCAGCACTCTGAGTGTGTCTGTAAGCCTGGAGAAAACTTACAGGAGTTGATCTTCTGTCTAAGCCAGCAAAACATCTGGCTTTCATCATCTGCATCAAACACTTTAAAAGCTTCTTTTCTTCTAGAAAACACTGAGGCTGATGTAGAAGCTGCCCCAGGTCAGAATGAAGAAAAATCCCTGCCTGCTGCACCTGTTCCTAGCCCAGTAGCACCAGCACCTGCACCGTCCAGGAGAAATCCACCTGGTGGCAAGTCCAGCCTAGTCCTCGGTTAAACCTTTCCCTTCCTGACTGTTTTGAACTCGTGTCTGTTTCTTTCCCCCATGCTTGTGAACTGCACAACTTGAGCCTGACTGTACATCTCGAATTTCTTTCATTAAAAAGAAGCACTTTATGTACTCCATCTTTTTTTGAGATCAAGGTTTTTTTTCCACTTCTGTCCTGTGTTTCCCCCAGATCTGCTGGAAGTGACATGAGTGTTTTCTAGTGATAGACTTGAGGGAAAGCTTTATGAAGTATAGTAATGTAATTCAAAGGAGAGTAGTTTGGTTCTAAGTGTGCTTAGAGGGTTTTGGTACTGAGTTTTTTTTTTAGAACCCCTTAGCTTTACAAGGGTCTAGAATCCTGGTTAAACAGGCCAGCAAACAATCAGCAAGAGCAGTCCCTTCCTCCACATGTGGGATTTGGGGATCTAAAAGGCTTCATTGACTGCATGTGGTAAATGCCTTGTGCCCTGCTGTGCCATATAAATCATGAAGTGGTTAGTGTACACCATGCTGCCTTTAAAAAAAAAAAAATTAAAAAAATCTTGATACTGGACTACTATGAAGCAGGGTATGTGCCAAATAGAGGGCTGATGACCAGAGCCACCTGGCCTAATGCTAGGAGGGGATTTATTCAGACCTTATTCTGTAAAGGTGGAGTGGATCGTATAAATAAATAAAAATTACAGGGCATTTTTTTTACAACTGACTCAATGCTGTGCATGATCATGCTGGTGCTTGACCATGAGGTGAAAATCTCATCCTTTAAAGTGTGTGTTGTAATTTCACAAAGCTGGACTGTTGCTTAAAAGTAAATAATATAGAAATTTTGAAGCAGTGTTTCCTGTGTGGGTTTTATTTCATGGGTTTGCTTTTGCTTTGTTCTCAGTTGTTCTTGTCTCAGCCAGCCTGCCCTACTCTATTAATAGAGGTGGAACGCAGCAGAGGAGGAGACCTCTTACACCTGGCTTGAGGTCACCATCATGTGCCATCTTCCTACGAAGAAAGTGTCTGAGTTACCTCCTCATTTTTATCTTCTAGATCAGAGAAGTGTGGAATATGGCTTGATATATATAATCCGTTTTATCCAAAATACTTTTTTCTCTCAAGAAAATAGAGGAAATTAAAGTTTCTTCTCCTCATTAAAAAAAAAAATAAAAAAAATTAGGCCCTAATAAGGGAGGGGGTGGGAGGGAGACCAAACTGTGAAGCTCTACTGTCCTCAAGGGGATCTGCGCACAATAAACCAAAGCAGCGGATTTGTACAGAACCGGTGTGTCTACTGGAGAGAGTGTGCCTTTTCCACCCTCCTCCTGGACGAACCAGTGCCTAAAAATACCCTGTCTTTCCACATCAGTTTTGGAGAAGCCCTGGCCTTAGGTGCTTAACCTATAAAACTGGATTTGCTCCATGTGCTCCTCCTCTCCTACATCTGGGGGTGGCGTTCCTTAGAGCTGATAGGACATGTGGTATGGCTACGAGCTGCATGTAAATCATGCTTACCTGTTTTCTGGCCTAGGATGAGGAAAATAATCAAATTATATTTCCTTTGCAAGCCCCACAACCAGTGGAACTTGTTAATACTCGTTTACGGTTGCCGAGACTTTGGCCGAGCGAAGCTGCCTTTCTGTCCGCCCTTCTCTTTGTCTTGGTTGGAGCGCGGCAGCCGGAGCCACCCTTCACTGCAAAGGTGCCGAGAAGTCGCTCGCTCTCCTTTTCACCCTTAGCAAGTAAGCCCAGTTACCGACAGAGCCCACCCGTGTCCCCACTCGGGTGTGGGGCGAGGGGATCCCCACGGAGGAGCGCCTTCCCCGCCCAGGCTCATGCATATTGGTGCTGTGAAGGTCCGCCCTGCTCTCGCGTGTATTGGAGAGCCCGGGGGCGGTCACCGGGCACAGGCAAGCGGCATGGGCAGCGCGGCGGGCCCGCTGCGGGTGCTGGTGGACATGGACGGTGTCCTGGCCGACTTCGAGGGAGCCGTGTTGAGGGGCTTCTGCTCCCGCTTCCCCGGGGAGCCACGGGTGGAACTGGTGGCGCGGAAGGGCTTCTCGGTGCGGGAGCAGTACCGCTGTCTGCGGGAGGACTTGGGGGTAAGCGTGGCGGGCAGGGGCCGGTTGCGAAGGAGGGTTTGGGGGGAGTGGGGAGCGCTGCGGAGCGGCTGGAAAATGGGGGGGTTGCGCCTTGTTTAAAAAGCTCTTCCTGCCCTCCCTGCCTCGCCTTGTACCCTGCTGTGAGCAAAGGAAATGGCCTCTTCCTACCACTGTGGATATGCAAAGCAGAGGGGAGGGTTGGGTGGTGGTATTTTTTTTTTTTTTTAAAGAGGGTGCTACAAAGGGTTTTTTCATGATAGCAGCCTTAATTTGTATAGTAATAATTAGTGACTTCTTCCGGGAGGATTGCCAGCCCTTTACAAAGAGATGTGTGTGCGGGAGTTGGCAATGAGTGACTCTGTCATAAAACTAACTGGATGAAACTATTTGCTGAAACATCTTCAGCTTGTTCTTTATCTACTTGTAAACTGCTCTTGCTATGCAGCAATAGCAATAACTTAACCTAAAGCTCTCTGAGCACTCTGCAGGTGTTAATGTAGCTCCATAGCAGGACAAGAAATATTAATATTACATATGAGTTTTGTACAGCTAATAAAACCCCATATCTATATAATTCTCTCTGCATGCTCTGACAAAGTGCACAGTAGGTAAGTGATCTGGAACAGTATGTAAAAAGTTGGTGGTACACCCTACATCCGTGCAAATTGTTGCTATTTTTAATGTTTGCTAATGACTGAATGAATATCAGACACATTTGCAAGGCAAAATTAAACATGTGAATCCAGACTTCACACTTCCTTCTGATTACCACAGGATAGTTGAGGACTCTGTAAAAAAACAGAATGGATGCTAATCCAGGCCTGTGCCATACACCTTCCCCGGGAAGTTCATTGCTAGTTTTAAGATCCTGTACTGATCCTGTAGGTTTTTTTACCGCTAAGAAATGACAACTGACATTAATTTCCCTCCTGTTCCATAGCGAGGTACAGGGTCCTGGACCAGTGTGTCGGATGTGAGTGCTGGGTCCAGGCAGCATGTCCACAGGCTCCAAACTGACTGATCTCTAATTGATGACTATTGATGCGCAAAACTTCCTGGAACTAGGAACTTGTAAATATAGGGAGTAGGCATGATTTATTTATCCTTTTATATAAACAAACATGATTTATTGCTGAAGTGAGTATTCCTTAAGTGATCCTATTTAGGTATACTGGGACAAGAAAACTGCAGGTAATTTAAGGGGTCATGGCTTTTTGTTTGTTCTTATTTGGAAGGTCTACGATCTGATCTGTCCTGAAAGTTGTGTTCTGTTCTATTTCTGGCATTCCCATTCCCTAATTTGGTTCATGCTCATCCTGTTCCTTCCCAGACCTTAGGTGTGTCAATGGAATAACCAGATAACTGGTTTGAATCCCACAAAGATCAGCAGTGGCAGAAAGCTCTTATCTTACAGTTTGTTATTAGCCTGGCTTCCTAAGGAAATTAGGTTTATGTAGTTGTATGTCTGTCTACCTGTTTAGTAAGCTCTGGATCTCTGGGCTGGTTTAGGTACATTTGGCAGAACAATAAAGCTTTAAAGTTTTAAAGATTTGAAGCTCCTACAGGTTTTATGTAAATACTACAGCTGGTTAAAAATAGGGACCTTGTTAGTTCTGCCACAGTGGTCCAGGGCGTCTGGGATGCAGGAGAATCCCTGCAGGAGACGGTCTCTCCTTGTCCCCAGCTGCAGGAAAAGCTTCAGCAGGAACCGGCAGCCCAGACACGGAGAGTGGCTTGTCCGTCCTGTGCCAGCGGTGCACAGGGATCTGCGGGGCCGCCTGTCTGTGCAGAGAAACCCAACCTGCAGTTTGTCAGCGGCTGAAAGGAGGGGGATCAGCCTGACGCTCTTTGTGGCAGGTATCTGCTGTGTCTATCCATGAACAGCCAGTGTGTTAAGATACTATCGTGACGGGGTGTGGGAAGTACTGTGATAATGATTTCCACATTGCCCTCTTACTAAGTGTCGATGCTTTGTTAAGTCCTCAGCAGCTGCCTCTTGAAACTTGAACCATTACTTTGCTTTTTCTTTCTTTTTTGATTGTAAGTTGATCATTAATTTCACATTGTAAATCCATTTCATTTACAAAGTATTTTGCTCAAGACTTTCTTTGCTGTACTTGTCTATCTGCCCTCCTGTGTGTGTAGCAATTTTGTTGATGGGGATTTCTCTCCCAAGTGTTTAGGATGTGTTACCTGGCCCCAGACAGTTTCAAAAAAGGATTCAACATCTCCAGCAGTGGCAAAAATTTCTAGAATTATTTTTAAGTATTGCAAATGGGAAAGCTTAGGGATAGATGTAATTCCTCCAGTTTTGTATCCAAATTGTTATCTTGCTAATAAAGTTAAAAGGAAATATTCAGCAATGATGGCATGAGAATGAGGAAAGAAAATTGTTTTACTTTCCTTTTCTAGTAGCATTTGGGGGGGGCGAGAAACGGCTTTTGGTTCTAAGATTCATCAAATCAAATTTCTTTTTCCAGCAAAGCCAGACTTTTTTGTGACGTGGTGGAAACTTGCCGGTTTCTGGTGTTTTGCTGTAGGAATAAAAGAGCTTTCAGACACAAGTCCTGATTCTGTAATTGAATCTTCTTGGGAAGAGCTCCAGGGAACTGTTGCTGAGATCAGTGAGGCTTTGCGTGGAAACAGAGATCTGGGCAGATCTGATTGCCACATCTTCACCTACACTCCGTAACCTCTTCTGATTTGCATGTGAAATCAGGCAGTGCTTCCAGATTCCTGGCTGTTGATTTATGAGTATTTCTAAATTATGATAGCTGAGTGAGCACCATGATATGGGAGACTTGTTCAGTGCTGACTCCTCATTGCTGCTTAATTGAAATGGTTTTTATGTTGATGTTCCACTGGTGATATATAGAGCAAGGAGACCATCAGATGGACTATAAAGCAATCTTGTACAATTTCTAAGCAAAGGCTGCCAGCCTGCCTTTGAAGAATACTTACAGAGTAGTAAGTTTTCCAAATTGTTTGGTGGCATGTGAACATACAACTTTAATGGTCATGGAAAAATCCTAGCTCAGCACCTCTGAATTTCACTGTATGACCCCAGGGAAAGTAAGATTCACGTGTCTTAGGATAGAAGAGATATTGGAAGCTTAACCTCTCTGTTTGAGAATGGAACTTAGGCCTGGAAGTGGACTCAGCCCTTAACGCTGCTGGGACGCTGCTGCGGGCATTTTGTCATGATGGATTGTGTGATAAGGGGAGTCGTCTGCTGTGAAATGCTCTGATTTAACACAGGCCACTGAACAGTCACCAGGTAGCAATTTTTAAAAATAACTAACCAGAGATGGATTCAAACCAGTGAACTTCCTAGCAATAAAAAGTGCAAGAATGTCTTACCAGTAAGGAAGGACAGTCCTACCCAGAGGCGCAGGAATTGCCCTGGAAATACTACTTTTCCTTTTAGAGATTAAAGATGCCACCCGTTATCACCACCAAACCCAGCCCAGCTGGGCCTAGGCGGGGTGCACAGGTCAGTTCACGAAGCCAGAGGTTCTTGGGGCAGCAGAGGGATCCACCTTTACGTTTCCTGCTGCGGTCTCACACTCTTTTGACTAGACTTTGCACCAACACGTTACCACCGAGGAGCAGATGTCTGTGCTGAAGTCGAGATCTTCTCCTTTAAAAACTGTTATTTTAGTGTGTGATTGAAAATCACAGAAAGCAGCAAAGAAGTGTAGCTCTCCTGTCCTCTTCCTTCCCTCTTGCTGAGTTGTTCCGGTCTAAAAAGATTAATCCCAAGTGTGCAGGTGTGCTGACCTGGCCCCTCCACTGAGGATGGTAATTAGCATGGTCACCTTACTGCCCTTTTTCTGAAGGAAAAGAGGCCTACTAGATAATACATGTGTTTGCCCACTCATCCGTGGTAAACTCCTAAGCTATAAGCAAATTTCAGTCAAATGTGAAAGAGGAGCAGCATCCTCAAGCTTGTTCCTTTGATTTTCACAAGAGTTAGTAGAGAGAGACCTGCTGGGAAGTGGCAAGGCGTGAGCTTTCCCTGTCAGACATCAGCTAGTCGAGCTGTAGATCAGTACTGTGTTTTTGGTGCTACTCATGAAGCTGCTTGGAGAAACAAAGCCAGGTCAGGATCAGCTCTGCCTCCTTACTCCAAACAAGCCACCAGAGAGTAACTCCTCATTCTTGTATGCCTGAGCTGGATTTTTCCTGGAACCCTAAAGGTGAGAAACTTTATAATCCACTCTGGGTGTAAAGCATCACCTCACTCTCTGAAGCGCTGGCCCTTTGACAGCTGTTACACACGGGGTGACTGGGCAACTGTTTTGCACAGAGCTCAGATAAAAGCACGGGCATTGCTAACAGTCCTCCTGTCTCTTGCAGGCTAAAGTAGCCAGCGTCTATGAATCGCCTGGCTTCTTTCTAGGGTTGGATCCAATTCCAGGAGCCCTTGAAGCTATGCAGGAGATGATCCACATGCAGGAGTAAGGATGCTTTGCACTCTGCAGCCATTTTCCATTATCTTATGCATTTTCCCCTGACTGCTAATGAAGGCTGTTTCTTTTCAGCACTGAAGTCTTTATTTGCACAAGTCCCCTCCGGAAATACGAGCACTGCATTGTGGAAAAGGTGGGAGAGAATTTATTTTACTGGTTTTAATGCTTGCTATTTCATACCACCCAAGTCGGAGTCATTCATTTATAAAGACAGTAGCTGGCGCAGGCTGCCAGGCTTCCTTGCGATCCCTCTGTCTGAGAGGCAGCTGCCCAGATACAGAGCAATAGCACAGGACAGGGAATTTCGGAGTGCCATGTGATTGATGCCAGCCTTGCTGTGGGGCACGTAAGCCCTGTGCTTGTGGAGCTGGCGTGTCACACTGCTGCTCCAGCTGTGTCAGCAGGTGATAGCAAAGGAACTGTTGTAGCGTGGCCCACAGGGATGGGATATTCCCAGGGGATCCCACAATGGAGAATCCTCAACTGACAAAACCTTATTCTGTCTAATCCGGAGCCTGAGATATCCAGCTATCCTGAAAGAGGCCAATGCTGAGCTAAGAGGAGGCTATAGCATTGGAACTGGTCCTGTTTGCCACTGGCACAAGAATGGAGGGGGGGACACCTTAATCACTGGAATGACTTAGATGGGCACAATATTTGTGCTCTGGGCAAGCAGCCAGTGCCGCTCGCAAACTCGACAATGATTAGGCACGGCAAACGCAGTGCTGACTGAAGGCCATTAAACATACAGGTTACATCAGTGTCCTGGGCCACAGCCAGTCTCTGTGGCAGGGATTTGTAGACACAGACATAGGTTTACAAGGGGAAAAATTGCTGTACTAGGGCTGATCTGACTTAAGCAATGTGCAAACTGAAAGTATGGCAGAATTTTCTCCTATCTTATTTCTTGCCTCCACAGTATAAATGGGTAGAAAAACACCTGGGACCCGAGTTTGTGGAGCGGATTATTCTAACCCGAGATAAGACCGTCGTATCTGGTGACTTGCTGTTTGATGACAATGATACCATTAGAGGTTTGAAAAGCATTTGCATTGCTTGCTGCTAGCTGGGGAGGAAACCCCCCCCAGATGACTCCAGCTTTCCTCCCTTGCCCTCCTCAGGCACAGAGCTGAACCCGAGCTGGGAGCACGTCCTGTTTACCTGCTGCCACAACAGGCACGTCCAGCTGCAGGCACCACGCAGGAGGCTGCTGTCCTGGGCGGATGACTGGAAGGCCATCTTGGAAAGCAAGCGCAGGCAGTAAAGCAAAAAGGGGATGCTGTGCGCTTCCTACTGCTGGGGGAACAACCAGCTCATCCACTGACGAGAAAACCCATTCCCAGGAGGCAGTGAGCACTGTCACCTGGACAGGGGCACTACAGGGGAGTCAGTTATAGTAAGAAATGAGCTGCTGTTAGACATGCTGCAGAGCTGACTCCTCTCCAGGTTTCTGGAAGATTGCTTTGCATTCAGTTAGTTAATCGCTGTAGAGTTTTGGATGTTTGCTGTTGGTGAAGTGAACCTATAAAATACAAGCAGTTGTGGGTTGGTTGTTGGTTTGTTTTTTTTCTTGTGTGCATGTGCTTTAAACCTCACTCCTGTTTGTTTTGGGCTGACTGGGGGTGGAGGGGAAAAAAAACAGGAAGAAGTAAAGCTCTGAAACTTGAGCAGACACAGTGTGGGTGTCTGTCAGGGAGCACTGTGCTCAACAGCCAAACCCATTTAAATTTTATGTATTTAGCCACCTTGGCTTTTGGGTTGCCTTTTGCGTCATTGGCTGATAATGAAAGGAGACCCAGCTGGCTTAAATTTCTGGCCCATGTGTGTGAGTAAGAGTGGGCAAAGGCTGGGCTGCAAGTGCTGTAGAGAAATATTTATGAGCTTATACAAAACTGTTTACACAGCGTTTAAGTTAATGTTTTATTAAGAGAAGGTTTTACAAGACAGCTGTTCTCATGAGCCAGACTGCCATGAGCCCTTTTTTTAATCTTCACCTTTCTCACCAGTGGTAATGAAAGAAAAATAACTTTCCACTACCTGATTTATAGTATAGCTACAACCTGCCCTGTGTAGTGATTTACTAGCCAGGTGTCTATGCCATGATGATAGGATGGCATATTTAGTACTAAAGGGATGCAGTAAGATTGCAAACTGCCAGGGCAGGGAAACACCTTTCTTCTGCAGGAGGAATGAAGTTTATGTGGTGTTTCAAAGTTATTTGAGTTGACACTGAAGAGAGCTGCAGCAAAACCAGTCAGGAACTGGACGGGATATAAGCTGCCCAATAACCCAAGCAGAAAACCCCCTAATTGCTGGGAAGGTTATTTGTCCAAGCTGGATGCTGGGCTGCACTTGGCAACCTGCTCTCCAACAGCCATGACTTGCTTTATTTTAAATATTTGCTTGCAGTTTTAGATGTGTGCTTGGCCTGACTGACATTGTAGTGCTGCACTGTGCTCTCTATTAACTAAAATCCAGTGCTGGTATGACCAGTTTCCCTCTTTAATGTTGTTCTTGATATACCCTCCACCTGCTGAGCAGAAAGTAGAGGCCTAGGAAAACAGAGGGGGGTGTCCCTCTCAACAGCTCCACACTGTTCTGACAGCTTCAGTCCTTGGGGAGAGGAATCCCCACTGCTGTGTGTTTGCTTAGATTCCTGGCCTCTTCCACTTGCAGAGGTGTGCAGTAATCCTCCAGGAAGACGGTTGCCAAATTGCTTAGCCTTCTGCTGGCTGAGAGAGAGAAGCGAAGCATGCACTCCACCACTGGGAGAGCCGTGGTCTGCTGGCGTGACTGTGGCGTTGTCAGGTACATCAGCGTCGTGACTGCCGACATGACCGTCTCCTCATTGGAGCTGGAGAGACAGTTGATTATGGACTCTACCCCATTTGCCTCCAAGATGTAATCTTTGTTAGTTTTATCCAGGCACAGGTTGCAAAGACCGCCTGAAACAGCAAAAGAAAATGTCCAACACATGCAAGACAAACTCTTCACACCCTCATCCTTTTTCATGCTAAGATTCAAATTCATTGCTGATCCCTTTTTCTAATACAGAAATAAGCATCCAGATTATCTGTGAGATTTGGATGGAAAATTCTTAACAGCTTCCCAGGCAACGTTTTCTTGATTCTTTCCAGAGATTTTCCATCAGAACATTCCTCCTCCTGTATGTCATTAGAGGGCACTGTTACTGCTGGATATAACCTTTCGGAAAATGAAGAATTCCAGTATCACTTAACCCTAACAGAGGCTACAAGCCAGCAGTTTATTGCAGGTGTTTTAGAAAAACAGAGAACAGAGCTAACGGTACTAGCCAAGAGACAGAGAATGTTTGAGCTTGGAACTTTTAAGATGCATCCACATCCTGGTATAGCTCAGCCACAAACCTTAAAAATCAAATAATTTATTATCATCTCATGGAGTCACTCACGATTAGATCTGTCCCCTTAGCTTATGTTCAGACCATGAATAAGGCAGTTCCTCAGAGGACTTAAAAAATTTCAAGTAAGTATTCTAGAAGACTGGTTGTCAATAGCAGAATGATAACATTGGACCTGTACATTTATACATGGCAAAATTTAACCATTAATGACTGCCTCTCTATAGGAGAGATTTCATTAAGTAGTCATTCAGATAATATTTACTTACAGTCTAGGGGAAAAAGAAGTCCTTTCTAGAAAGCAGCTTTAAGCACAGCAGCTCTATTAGGGTGAAGGGGAGATGCCTGCCTCCTACCTCTCTCCCCATTCTGCTCGTTCTCCACTAAAGGAGGCCTTATCAGCATGGCGTGGGTCTGTTCTTGCAGCACAACTACCTCCCTCTCGGGGGGGGGATTAACCACCAAACCCTGGCCTGTCGGCCCCTTACGAGGCTGTTAGGTGAGGTCCTTACCAATCGCAAACTCCACGAGGGTCTCGTTGTCTTCGGCGAGCATATCGAGGAACAGATCCAGGACCTGGAGTTGCCGGAGGTACTCGTAGTTTTTGGGATCATAGGCAAAGTTGGCCAGGTTGGCCAGTACCTGCTCCTTGGCCTCTGCAACAGAGAAGCGTCAGGTGCGTGAGGAAACACGCTCAACGTGAAGAGCACCTGCGAGCAGCGGTGCCCGGGGTTTACCTGGGCTGTCTGTCACCTGGAACTCGGTGACGAGGGCCTGCAGGTACTCCAGCCGCCCCAGCTCCATCCCGGGCCCGGCAGCCGTGTGTCGCCCCAAGCTCAGCGGCTAAACCCCCGGCGCCCGTGAGACACCCCGCGCTCGGCTCGGCTCGGCTCGGCTCTTCCCCTCCCACGGCAGCCCGGGGCGCGGGCAGCGCTTCCTCACGGCGAGGCCGCCCCACGGCCGCGTCCCGCGGGGTGGAGACGAGCCAGCGGCGGCAGCACCAGGGGCCCGGCGGGCGCCATCTTGTGGGCGTGGCGCGGCCGAGCGTTGCTCTCCTCAGGCGGGGGCGGCTCCTCCTCCTTCTCCTCCTTCTTTCTCCTCCTCGGCCGGCGGCTCCTGGTGTGCGGGCCCCCGGGGTCGGTGCCGGGAGGCGGTCGCAGATGGAAAGGCAGTCCGCTGCCCAGCGGGTTGTGGGGCGGCAGGCGAGCGCCTTGCTGGGGTGTTTCCTTCCCCGTGGATCGTGTTAACCTGTTACCGAGGTGTGTCGAGGCGTTCGACGCTGATTTCGGTATACGGCAAAACTTTGGTATTTAAACGCTTTGCTCTGGAAAGGAGCTGACCTTTCCTCGCTCACTAGTTTGTTTACTAAAGAATTTTTCACGTGTATGTATTTTTTCCCTGCTCAATTTCAATACTGCCGTCCTTCCAGGTTCTCCGGAGTTAGTCGCGGTGTTGCTTGCTCAGCGTGGATAAACCCCGAGCTGTTGCCCAGGTCATGGCTCTGCTGACCAGCTTGCTTGCCGAGGGATAGAATCATAGAATCATTTAGGTCAGAAAAGACCTTTAAGATCATCGAGTCCAACTGTTAACCCAACACCACCGTGCTCACTAAACCATGTCCTGAAGTGCCATGTCTGTGTGTTTTTTTAACACCTCCGGGGATGGTGACTCCACGACTTCCCTGGGCAGCCTGTTCCAGCTCTGGACGGAGCTGCTTGCTGGGTCTCAGCGTCCCTCGGGGTGGTGGGTGTTCGGTAGGAAGAGATGCTGAAGGAATGAAGGTTCAGTTAGTTTCAGTTCTAGTATGGGGGTTGCAACTCCTAGGTTAAAGAACGACAATGGAAAGAGATTTTTTGCCTTTTGTAAAAAGGCAGAAGGATTTAAAGCTGAGGGAACAGGTAAAAAGAGGGCACAAAACATGCGTGGTAGGATAAATTACCTGGGGAAAAAAAAATGAAGCCAAGAAGGAGCGAATTAAAACAGCAGCAGGTAATTCTACCCTGGTTGTACAATGCCCTGGTCTAAGCACAAAGCAGAGCAATTACATGATTCTGAACTAGCACAGTTCCAGTGAAACCACTATGATTATAAGTGCTGCAAGTGAATTCAATTGTGGTTCATATCATGTAAATACGTAAGGTAAAGGTACATAAACATCATAAACTGGGGAGATGGACTCTGCAGAAATATGTGTTTCTTTTATTGAAGCAATTAAATGCATGGAGGTTCTTCTGTAGATAAGGTAGGAAACAGGCTGTGAGCAGATGTTATCTTTTTATTGTCTCAAATGCAGTCAGTTTTCATATGAAGCAAATTGAACATGGACTGATTCACCAAATACGTGACATCAGTGACAAGCATGTTGGGCTGATAATCTCTCCTACCACACAGCTGGGTGTAGTAAAATGTCTGCCCATGACCACATTAAATAAGATGAGCAAAGAAGCTACACTAAATGCAGCAATGCTAAATCTTTTAACATTGCAATGGTGTGGGAAGACAGAGAATGTGAAAGTGAAGATATTTGTTTCTACCTGGTATAAAAGTTTAAGCCACACCTGTGCTAGCAACTCCAACTCAATTTTCAGATGAAGTCAGTGTATATATATCTGTATATGTGTGTATATATATGAAAATGATCAGCAAAGGTGCTACAGACTACTTCTATATTAGAATGTTTTGCTAGTGTATTAACAAATCTCTTTTAATGTATGCCTTTGTAAGTGGTAAGTGTTGACATGCTTTTAAGTCACATTTGTCATTACATAGAAAGTGAATGACTAATGTGAGAAAGTGGGAGAAGAGAAAGCAAACAGAGGAGCTAGTCAATACAAAGAGAAGTGATTAAGGATATTTGGATTGACTAATAAGGGGTGAAAACCAGTATTTAAAGAGAAAAAATATAATGACTTCTGTTTGCAAATACTACATTTGTGGTCAGTCAGTATAATTTTGCATGCACAGCAGCAGTAGGAACTTTGTCCCCTGGAGTGGTTTCATAGACAGCAGTGTTTTGAAAAGTCTGGTGCCTGTGCTGGCTGAGTTTCAGGTGATGCATCTCCAGGTCACACTATTCAGTGCGTGGCAAGAAGTAACCAGGAGAAGAGGAACAGCTGTACTTGTCTTCTTGGGAACTGTGAGCTGTGCTCTTTCTAGCCTTTGTCTTGCATTGAGTTTAATCAAAGCTGGTTAAGAGATGTGAGAAAAATTTTACATTTAATTTGTTGTGTTGGAGCTGCCTCCTGGAGGAGAATTTGATAACATCCCCTGGTTTTGTAGTCCTCAGAGATTTTCTGCAGGAGTTACAGACCGTGCTAGTACTGATTACATGACCTGCTTTGTTACCAGCTGGGTGCTTGTTGTCTTTGTGCTGACTTACTGCAGGGAGTTTGCCCTGTTCATCCAGAAAGATCACTTGGCAGTAGGCAGAGTTGGCTGTTTACTCACCCAATATTGGCTATATTGTTTAATTGTCTTAACGCTCCAAGCACTTGGTGTTTGCCGGAATAGTTAGCACAGAATGGGCTACTATAGCTGGGGTATTCACAGGTCCAGGGGCTAGTCTAGTATATAGGTAGCACACCAAAGTTTTAGAATTCAGTGAAGTTTCATTTCTAGCAGTTATGTTTCTTTTCTTGCAGTTACGAGCCAGGTCTGCAAGCAGCATGCCAAGCTCTTAATTTAAGTGACTTTGCACTTCTGAGGTGTTCTAGAGTGTGTAAGTTTACTGTGACCTTTCTTTGGGTTTTTATTAAACTTTTCGAAGAATTACATTGGCAGAGCGTCTAAGGCTTTTAAGGTCATGATCTTGCAATATTTCAGTGTTAACTCCCTGGTGAATGTTTCATTGCAGTAAGGAAAGGTGCTTGTTGCAAAAAATGCTTACCTTGCAAGGTTAATGATATTTTGAATGGACATTTATTTCTGGTCAATTTTTGTTGCTGTGCTGGTTCTCAGAGGTTTGTAACCTGGCTGAGGTATTAGTGTTTGTCCATAATTAAAGCCAGGGTTATTTTACTGTCTGTAGGTGTTAAAAAAAACTGCTTCAGGGGTGGGGGTAGTTACCTTGTGTAATGGGATGACCTTAAACTAATGAAAGGAACTTTTATTGCTTTATTTTTCTTCTGGGCCTCAAGATCCTTAAGGACTGAGTATTACTGCTCCTGTATGATAGCTCCGAGGTGGAGTATTTATTATCCTGTAGCATGCTCAGTATGCATGGTCCCTTCAATTATGCTTTACAAAGCTCCTGCTCAAGGCAGCTTGGAGTTCAGGTTGAAAAGAGGTGGGAGAAGACAGCTGTGGAACAGGAGAGGAGGGGGCTAGTTTTCTCTATTATGGGAGCTCAGACATCTTATTTACATGTGGGAACACAACCGAAAATGTTACCTCTTCTCTTTCTGAGATTTGTTTCCAACCTGTGGGTTGTGGATTACTTCTAAAGGGTCTGTGCAAAGTAACTGGGGGAGACAACGCTGTTTTCAGGCAGCTTAAATTCTGTAAGGCTGTTAGGAAGTTTTTAGTCAACAAGTGGAGAAATGTTAAAATAATGGATTTGTGAATTCATTGTTTTTCTTCCCAGAAACATCCCTCTGCCTCTGCAAGTAACTCCTAGTGACCCTGGTGTTGAGTCTGGGAGCATCAAAAAGCAGTTCTATAAAGCACTCTCCTAACTTTCCGTCCTAAATTATCTTGCACTGCTGTGCACAGCTAAGAAATAGTCAAAACAGATTTCTTTGTCATGGTGTAGGAGGAGCTGATCTCTGTGTGTCAGCTTCAGTTGGTGAGTACCTGGGGGTTTTTATCTCCCTTGTATCTTGCAAGCATTCATTAGACTATACATTTCCTTGCTTATGAGCCAGCTAGGGCTAAAGCATTGCAGATAGAGCAGTTGGCTCCACACAGGAGATGCATTCTGTTGCTCCTTCAACTAAGCTTTGTTTTCCTGTGATAAATTTTGATGGGTTGTAGCTTACACCATATCTTGCCTGTTTTGCCCAGGACATTTGTAGCAGTGGGAGGATTTGGGACGATATGACCCCATATTTCTGGAAAAAAAAACCAGAAAGGGAATGTAGAAAGGTGAACAGAATTAAAAATTAAGAATTACACACAGAAAAAATGGCAATCTGTTCTGCTGCTTAGTTGTTTTATTTGCAATAGCTGGAAGAGGTTTGGGACTTAATCCCTTTTCATTGTTGGTTTTTTTTTTTTTCTGAGAGGGAGAAAGCCACATCTTTTTCCTAGGAATGTACAGCAGTAATTGTTTTGGTAAGCTGAGAAGCACCAGTCCCTGTTTACTTAATAGTTATGGACAATGTAAGCATTACACAAGTTAATAAACATGTGTTATGAGACACTAGATATGTCTCCCACTAGTCCTCTTATTTAAGTATATGATTGATAAGGAAATGCAAAGCCCTCTGGTTCAGTAACCCTAGAGCAGTACTGAAGAAGATACTGAGCTGTGGGAGCAGGAACCCTTCTGAAGGGCTGATACCTCTTCCCCTGTAAAAGCCAGCTGTGAAGCCATTATAGTCTGAAGACCTTGGAGTCAGTTTTCCATCCAGTGGGGGTTTTTTTGGCTTGTTTGTTTTGTCTGGGGAGCCCACAGCTCTAATGAAAACTGTGGTTTTGTTGCTAGGAATCTGATATGACAGTTCTCAAGATAAGCACAGCAGTTGAGTTGAAAGCTGTTTCTTCTTCCATTTCACTTCCATTTTATGCTTCTGTCTTTCTGATGGTTCTAGTGTTGAGTAATCTTCATCTGTTGTGCTTTGTAAGCTATTACCTGCTTCTGTCAGATCAGGAATGATACAGAATATAAACAGTTCGCAACTCAAGCTGATGCTGAGGGAGGCTAGAGGCTGATGCAGCTATCATCTTAGTATTTACAAGTTAAGTCCCAGGAGTGTAGCAAGAAAAGCCACTTACAGTCAAGG